GTTGATTTAGCACCAAACTAAAGGTAAAATTAGAAAAATAAAAATTCTGGTAGGAAAGTCATGATTTGCTGAACACTTTGCTTACAAATTGCTATAAAAGAAATACAATTAATGTAGATTTAAACAAAAAGTAATCAGTATTGTTTAGTCGTAAAAGATCAAAGTGTTGTGTTGGCAGGTATAATTTCAACATCAGGACATCGTGGATAAGTCTGAACCAAACTCTGAAGTGCTGTTTAGTATTTCTAGAATTTCCGGGCATGGTTTCTGTAGCCTCATGGTTTTGCATTTGATTGTCAAGACCCAGGTTCGATTCTCACATGGGTACAATGTGTGCAGTCAGTTTCTGGTGTCCCCAGCCATAATATTGCTGAAAGCAGCGTAAAACCCTCTTCACTCACTCTGAGTTCAGTAAAGTGTTTCACAATAGTCTGACTGTTTCAGCTAAAAGGCATCTTCATGTGACAGTAGTATTAGCTTTCGGTTCCATTTTGTTTCAATTATTCCCAAGCTCACTCGGCAGTTTATTTAGCGAGCAATACAAATAAAAGTGCCTATAAATGGTAATTTTGGTGTTTTGTCAAGATAAATAGAATAATTTTACATCAAATTTTAGAAGTTCAAAGTTGGTAAGTTGATTTGTGACATGCATTAGTGGGATGAATATGCATGAAGGGGTTTGGGAAGATATTCCAACGGGCAACTTCAAAGTAAGAATTTGCATATTTTGAACTTCCCCATTTACCGTATACAGTGTAGCGTGACATATAATCATTGATATCTCAGGATGATCTTCTAGTTTCACTCACAAGATCTGACAGTAGAGTCACCTGACCTAATCTCACTGTGTCAAAGGATGTGTTCGCTTCTTATTATTTTGCACATGGAATGTGATTTTTTCCTCTTTTTTCAATCAAATGCATTTACTGGAGCGTTAATTGTCTTTTCAAGGAATCTACAGAGACTACTTGACTGTCAGTTTTGATGGTAAAACCGGTTATTTGATTTTCTGCTTTAACTCAATAATTCTCTTCTATTGCTTCGAACACAAATAGCTGTTCCAGAAAGACAACACAAAAAAGTGTAAGTGTCACAACCTTGAACAATAGTTTATCCCCAATAGGGCCCCGTCAGTAGACGAGGCATTGTAATTAGAAAATTACCTTTTCCCATGAAACATGTCACTCGTGTGTCATTCCACTGAGAATTACAAGGGACTGTTTTGTAAAAAATGAAAACTTAATTTTTCCATTGCGATGGCCTTGTGGGTGAGTCTTTATTGAATCATTTGAACTTTTTGTCACTAGGATTTCAAGGTGTTGTTTTGTTCTCTTTGTCAACAGAAAAAAGCTTCGAGTAATGAAATGTGTATCATAGCTTGAGAATTAGTCAGTAATTGGATAAAGTGTGACCTTTGTAAAAAAACACATCACATGACTTACTGTTCACTTGTTTAGTTTCATAAATGTTAATAATCGAATACTTGTCGTTTTTCTCAGACAGTCTGCTAAAACTGTGATATTAATTGCTCGTTGAGTCTTCTCTGAGTCTGGGTACAGTGAAATTTTTTTTTTCGTTCTCTTAATTCTAAATTTGTAGTTTGTAAACATCCTCAAGTGATTTTTTTTTCTGGAAAACTTGCAAAAAAAGGGTTGTATGTATGTAAAGAAATATACAAATTTATGCCAAAAATATTTACTTATAAAATCATTGTATTACCTCATGATGCCAAACTACTTTGAACCTTTGACCTCATGGGAAATGTCATCAATTTCATTTTTTTTTTTTATCGTGATATGAATCCTAAAGCGAATTAGTTTCTGTATAATTTGTTGTATCGTCATACAGTAAGGTTAGTTCCCCTAAGATACATTGTGTAGAGATTCCTAGAGGAAAAAATTCTGATAATTGATGATCTTGTCTTATTTCAATTAAGTGTCCCTCAAAATGAGTTTCTCTTAGGTTTCTTTTTAAATTTCTAATGTGCCACGTTACTTGATCAGTTGTACTAACCCAGGGTTGAACAACTAATTTCATTTGCTGAAATACCTAAGTTGAAATCTGAGTCCAAGGCAATCTATATCTCTTGAAGGCTTGAAACGTGAACCCCAATAGTTTGTTTTCAGTATTACCATTTTTATTAGAAATTGAAACAATAAATTCCCCTAAATCCCTGAGGACTGAGGTAATGGTTAGAGCAATGTTAACTAAAATTCTGCTGGAGTGACCTTCACCAGTTGTACTAGCAGTATGAAAACTCTCAACATGTTTTAAGAAAATTAACAATGATTGCTTAATTGGCAAAGATTTGTGAAATTAATTCACTTGTTATTTAATAATGAAACTTAGCAATAAATTTGCAATTATGAAGACTAAATGTGAGCTGTACTTAACTAAGTTTAACAGTTAATATCAAAAGATTAAAAGTCTATCTTCTGACATGTATCTGTGTCTGGTGTCTCGCGCCTACATTCGCTTGAGTGAAGTTGTTAATTGGATCTGTGTGGACCATCAGATCAGGGCTTTTAGTTGTGAAACCTAAAACTGCATCAATGTTGTTTTGTAATTGAGGTACATTTAGCTGGCAATTCTATTGTCACTATTTGCTGATTCTTTGACTACGGGGTCCTGGAGTTGGAGGCCTCTAATGGCATCTCAGCAGTCCCTCACACGTTGATGGGGCCTTGTTTAATGGAAAGAGCATATCTTTTCCCAGAACACTTAATGCTCGTAATGAGAAACCAGCAGTAAGACTTAGTTAATTGACAAACCACTGTATAATGTCCGCATATAATTAATATTTAATTTCTTGGCAATCTAATTCTCCAGTTTGATGTTTCCTCGGTTGAGAGCTATAAACATCTCAGAGAAATGAAAGTCGTTCAGTTCTTGTCTTTCGCTGGTGAATATGCTTGTGCTTGCTCAAATTGAAGGAATTTGACATTGAAGACAAAAGCTTTTATCTTGGCAAGAAACTACTTGTGAAAGGTAATATTTTTTGTTGGGTTACCATGATGTTATCATTGTTGAGTTGTTATCCTCACTGACTGAATGAGAACAAATATTGCAGAAAGTGCTTTTAATTATTTAGGCAAGCAATTGTTATGTTCCTAAGTAATATGAAGCAATATAAAGTAATATTATAATGTATATGTTATACGATGACTTTTGATGATACTTCATTTGAGGCTATTGATGTGCACTGCTTGTGTGGTGTAGTGGATAGAGTGTCGGCCTAGTGAGTGGAAGGGAAATGGTTTGGTCCCTTGGCAGCATCAAACCTTATGCTGGAAGATGGTACTTGTTGGTACCCTTTTTGGAAATCAGGATTATGCAGATAGAACAAGGACTTGTTGGCCCGGAATCGAGTGGCTAGAACCATGTTTTGTACAAGGTAGTCTAAACTAGTACAGACAGATAGACATTGAGAGGGGGGCAATGATCTTGAATTGCACCAAGACAATATGATAACATGCATACCATTACACATATCTCAGGGTGGTGGGGTAGCCTAGTGGTTAATGCGTTTGCTCGTCACACCGAAGACCCGGGTTTGATACCCCATATGGGTACAATTGTGAAGCCCTTTTCTGGTGTCCTCGCCATGATGTTGCCGGAATACTGCTAAAAGCAGCATAAAACCATACTCACTCACTCTCTCTCACTCACTCACTCACTCACTCACCACATATCTCAAAAATAGCAAATTAATATGATATTCTGTTTTGGATATGATCTATCAGACCCTGCAACAAATATATCTGGAACAGCTCATGCAAATCTGTAATATTTTGCATGTCTACATTCCTGCAATTTCGGTTATTTCATTAAGACAATAATGTAAGAAATGTTTTTCTGTAAAATATGTTAATTTTAGAGACTTAGATATAAGTCTCAATATAGCTAAACACCTATCAAATGATTAACTTCAATTCAGATCTATTTCAGCATATTAGGTTAGAGCTAGACTTAATTTCAACCAGTTTTAATGTAGTGTGCCTTTGTTCGTCTTGTTTAACAATGAAACATCTACTTTCAATATTAATTTCAACTGTTGCTGAACCTAAATATGATTATAAGATACTACTGACAGTCTTAGAGAGAGAGCTGACTTAAGGATTTCAACTTCCTTATTGTTTTAGTGAGATGTTTCCGTACAGGTGCTGTTATCAACAAGTACTTTGGGGATTTTCGCACATGGATTGAAATGTCAAATTGAAAAGTTGAAATCTATAAGTCAGCACCATTGTCACTGTTACTTCAAAAAGAGCCAGTTTTTATACCCCATCTTCTGATAACCAGGCTCAATTTGGAATGCTTTAAATATCAATTTTCCTGCAATAGTGCTTCGTCGGTTTTCCTAATTATCAGGGTAGTGAGACTATTTCTCGAAATTTTGACCACAAAATTACCAATATTCATTAATTGATGATGACCGTATTAGGGCATCACATATTGACAGAGGAGAACTCGTTCACAGCGTCTATTGTCTTTCAATCTCTAATGTTATAAAGTGGTACCAGTATTGAATATCATTCATATGCCTGTTCAGGGCCCACATATCACAAAGCTTTGCCCTGACCATGAATAGATGGCATCAAGTGCCTGTTACACTGTAGTGAAGTGAACCACTCTCTTTCTCTCTAGTGGGTGCAGGATTTATTGGCTAAAAGGCCTGAGAGCGCCCATGACTTGAGATTGGCGAAACCCAATCCTGTATTATATGTCTGTAGGCCACATTGCTAATAGAGGTGCATTTAGCTGTATGGCTACAATGTAATTGAAGTACATTTAGTGGTTTGCTATGATTACAGTGGCATATCTACACCCTTGCCAGCTTTAAGTGGCTATATGTTTATGCAAGGTCCCAGGTCCTTCTTGAGATGAAACAGTCATGGTTTCACTCTTGCTTGCCAGTTTGTCAAATAATGATGCTGACAAGATTCTTAAAAATTGAAATGGCTTGTAATGTATGGTGGTTGTGTTTCGCTGTGTTACAGATCCCATTTGCAATATGAACGGAAAACTGTCTCCACAAAACAAGCTGACGGGTGAGGAAGTACTAAGGCTAGACAACACTGGAGTGACAGGTAGGTGCTGCTTGTGTTATGTTGTGTTGTGTTTGTGTTATATTATGCCACATTGTGTCGGGAGTGACTTTCAAGCACTTGTTTTGTGACTTGGGCAGCTCTTCCGAGAAGTTAATTGTATTGATAGATTTTCCTGGAAGTAACAGAGAGTGGGAAGGAGGCAGAGTAGAAGGAAGAGGATGGGGGGTGAGGTTGATGGAACGGGGTGGTGGTGGTGGTTATGTTGTGGGGGAGAGGAGGATGTGTTGGAGTTGACGGAGGGGCAAGGACAATCTTGGGGAGAGGAAAGGATGATCTGTGGGTGGGGGGAGAAGTTGGTCTGTGGGAGGGGTGGGGGTTATGTTGTGAGGGAGAAGAGGATGTGTTGGAGTTGACGGAGGGGCAAGGACAATCTGGGGGAGAAGAAAGGATGATCTGTGGGTTGGGGGAGAGGTTGGTCTGTGGGAGGGGAGGAAATATGTAGGGGTGGAGATGACAGAAGGAGGGTTTCGTCTATGAGTGGAAATGGGTGTGAATCATTTGGTGGAGAGGTGAGAATTTGGGCAAGGACAGTCTTAGGGAGAGGAAAGGATGATCTGTGTGTGTGGAGAGGGTGGTCTGAGGGTTTGGGGAGGGAGGGGGGAATATATAGGTGTGGAGATGACGGAGGGAGGATTGTGTCTTTGGGTGGAAATTGGCGTGAATCAATTGGTGGAGAGGTGAGAATTTGGGCAAGGACAGTCTACAGGAGGGAAGGAAATCTTTGAGTGGGGAGAGGTTGGTCTGTGGGTGTTAGTGGGCAATCTGGGTAGAGAGAGGACAATGTGTGGATGGTTAGAGGTTGAAGGGTAGTGAAGAAGGGAATCTAAGGTTGGAAAGTGTGCTTCACAATCTGAATGTGGTAATTTTGAAAGAGGAATTAGTTCAAACAGCTGTATTAATTCAATGGATAATAAAAATCTCATTACATAATATAAGAATTGAATGTTTGTGTTAGGTTTTACTCTACAGAAACATAACTGTAGCGTATGCACTAGCTTGGCTGTGTATAATACATTTAACACAGCCAATTTTGGTATGCGAATGTTGTTTTAATTGTGCTTTATGTATTCTGAAACTGCCATTTGGCTCATCCTACCATTACTGCATCACAAATGACAAGTATTATCTTCATTAAATATGTTGACAGAAGAATTGCTTGTCAAGCATCTAAGATGAAGTTTGTTCTTTACACAAACTTCTTTTGGAGTAGTTTTTTGCTCACAATTTGACAAGTAACCTTGTTTGATGACACTTCAAGAGCTTGTTCCTCCTGCAGATAAGTAAACAAGTCAACTTAATTTTCAACATCTCATCATGTGTTTTTCACATAGAATTTAGCGATAATTTAGCAAGCAGTTTTTGCTTTAATCTTGTAGTATATGTTATTTATCAGCAGTGGAAAGGCAACGCCATCGGGGACTCTGCAAATACATCATTTTATCGTCATTTCTTAATCAACTAATACCCTTGAAGTTTTAAACATCTTCTTTCAATAATTATATCAAGCAAACTTTCAAGTTTAATTTATTTTGTTTCTACATTTCCTTTATTGGTCTTCCACTACTAACATACAGCTGAGCTTTTTGTTCAGTGTGTAAACAAGCCAAAGGACATCCCAACTAATTCAACTCGCTACACGCTAACATACTCACGTTTTCTTTTACAGCTTGAAATTGTGTATTCATCAATCAGTTTGAAGTAGTTGATGGACATGTAGGATGTTTTTATGAAGCTCATGCTGAAGCAGTGGGTGATATATGCTGTTATATGGGCCTGCTAATGCAGTGTAGCACAAGGCTAATGGAACAATAGGGATTCAAGCTATAGACTTGCTACAAGTCTCTCTGAAGAATAAAGGTCAATTGATTTGGAAAGTTTTATCGTACAGATTTTGAATTGGCTGGTTGTTTTATTAGCTTTTTGCAATGTTTTATCTGAAGATTGCTTGTGATCTATTGTAAAAGCTGGGATTGGCATTTAGTTGATGGATTGGCTGAACAGGGGTTTGGTGAGTGTGGTTGATAACTTAATGTGATGCAATATAGCATTGATGGGTTGCTTCCCTTGGATGCCAAGATCTGCTAATTGTGAGTTTGATTCACAGATTTGTCCTAGATCAGACATGAGCTGCACAAACATCATGAATGTGTACAGTCTCAGGTGACAGGTGATACAATGTATCTTACTGTGAAGTAAACCGCTGTATATAATACACTTTGAAACAGGTCACTCTGCATACTGCATACCATACACTCTACCTCTCACCAAGCTGATGTTCATCATTGAGATCTCATGAACATTTTCCTCTCAAGTAAAGTGACCTCATGAATAAAAAGACTTCACAATTGGGGCATCATGAACGGTATGACTTCATGAATGTGACCTAATGAATGAAAGGACGTCACAAACAATGTGGCATCATGAACAGTATTTCTTCATGAATAATGTGACCTCACAAACAATGGGGCATCATGAAAGATATTACTTCATGAACAATGTGGCCTCACAAACAATGGGGCATCATGAAAGATATTACTTCATGAACAATGTGACCATGCAAACAATGGGGCATCATGAAAGATATTACTTCATGAACAATGTGACCTCACAAACAATGGGGCATCATGAAAGATATTACTTCATGAACAATGTGACCTCACAAACAATGGGGCATCATGAAAGATATTACTTCATGAACAATGTGACCTCACAAACAATGGGGCATCATGAAAGATATTACTTCATGAACAATGTGACCTCACAAACAATGGGGCATCATGAAAGATATTACTTCATGAACAATGTGACCATGCAAACAATGGGGCATCATGAAAGATATTTACTTCATGAACAATGTGACCTGAACAATGTGACCTGCAAACAATGGGGCATCATGAAAGATATTACTTCATGAACAATGTGACCTCACAAACAATGGGGCACCATGAAAGATATTACTTCATGAACAATGTGACCATGCAAACAATGGGGCATCATGAAAGATATTACTTCATGAACAATGTGACCTCGCAAAAAATGGGGCATCATGAAAGATATTACTTCATGAACAATGTGACCTTGCAAACAATTGGGCATCATGAAAGATATTACTTCATGAACAATGTGACCTTAACAACCCTAAGCAGCATGCAGACATTTAGTACCTGATTAATCCTCCATCAAAACCTACCAAATTACAAGTGGAAGGGTTTACTGCATGAACTTTGGAACTGAATGTTTCAAAATCCCTATTTAATTACTATGTACTTAGGATATCTTGCGGTGGAATCTATACTATGCATTTTAAAAATACCAGCATCCACTCAAATTAATTGGCATAGAATTCTGTTGCGTACATTACTTTGGCCCTAATCACAGATAGTGCCGTCTTTAAGATTTTAAATTGTTCACTAAGTATGTTGAATGACTATTGACCTATGTATATCAAGTATGCATGAAGCCGCTGGTTTTAGTGTTGGATGGGGCTTTGCTCTTGCACAGAGTAATTACAATTATCAATTATTAATTATTAAGTTCTCATTCATTCTAATTACAGTCTCATCAGACTAATCACAACGAAATGAGCATTCATTAATTTAACAAAGCCTTGCCTAATTATACACTGACATAATGCAAGGGAGGTAATTAAAATCAAACGAGCCCCCTGATTGAGTTGGTCCAATGAGAGGATAATCTTCTCCAAAGTTAGTCACTGTGTCAACTCGGAGCAAAGTAGCAAATTATCGTACCCGGATCTACTCTTTATACAACCTCCTCTAATCAGACGGGGCTGTCACGGCTTTGTGGACCCGTCAGCAGCGACATGATGTACTCCCCTCCATGGGTGCTGCAACAACACGGGGACATATCTCCAGTGTGAAGTCGCTGGTGTGTCTTTAGTATACAGATTCACACACAGAAAAAGTGAGTATGAAGTCTATCTCGTAACAGTGTAGTCATGTGAGCTTCATCTAACATGTTTCCTGATCTTTGTTTGGGCTGACATGCTTGTTGTAAGGGGCTGAGTAAGTTCTTTTGTATGGGGCTAGTGCTGGTTCTTTGGAGCCATGCACATGCTTTTGTAAGGGGCTATTGCAGTTGTAAGGGACTGTGCATTTGCTTATTGAAAGGGACTGTACACATGCTTTTGTATGGGGCTAGTGTAGGTTGTAAGGACTGTACACATGCTTTTGTATGGGGCTAGTGTTGGTTGTAAGGACTGTACACATGCTTTTGTATGGGGCTAGTGTTGGTTGTAAGGACTGTACACATGCTTTTGTATGGGGCCAGTGCTGGTTGTAAGGACTGTACACATGCTTTTGTATGGGGCTAGTGTTGGTTGTAAGGACTGTACACATGCTTTTGTATGGGGCTAGTGTTGGTTGTAAGGACTGTACACATGCTTTTTTGTATGGGGCTAGTGTTGGTTGTAAGGACTGTACACATGCTTTTGTATGGGGCTAGTGCTGGTTGTAAGGACTGTACACATGCTTTTGTATGGGGCTAGTGCTGGTTGTAAGGACTGTACACATGCTTTTGTATGGGGCTAGTGCTGGTTGTAAGGACTGTACACATGCTTTTGTATGGGGCTAGTGCTGGTTGTAAGGACTGTACACATGCTTTGTATGGGGCTAGCGCTGGTTGTAAGGACTGTACACATGCTTTTGTATGGGGCCAGTGCTGGTTGTAAGGACTGTACACATGCTTTTGTATGGGGCCAGTGCTGGTTGTAAGGACTGTACACATGCTTTTGTATGGGGCCAGTGCTGGTTGTAAGGACTGTACACATGCTTTTGTATGGGGCCAGTGCTGGTTGTAAGGACTGTACACATGCTTTTGTATGGGGCTAGTGTTGGTTGTAAGGACTGTACACATACATGCTTTTGTAATGTGGATAAGCTGAGAGAAGGTTGAATGGATAGGCTAACAGAAGGTTGAATAGATGGACAAGTTGAATGAATGAATGGATGGTTGAATGA